CCATGTTATTTCAATAGACCAGAAAAGGCACTTGAAAAATCCAATGCCCTATCATGATTAAAAATGCTCATCGGGGTCAAAACAAGGGAGTTGCAATTGTATGGGAAATATAAAAATAAAATTAAAAATGCTCAAAAAAAAAAGAACATAAAAAAATGCTCATCAAGTTAATAGAAACTTCTTCAACATAATAAAAAACAACTATGAAAAATCTACAACATTATGCTTAAAGGTGAAAGCCTGAATACTTTTCTCTAAGATAGTGAACAAGATGAGAATATCCTAGCCATTTTCATTAATACTGTATTGGAGGTTTAGCTAGGATAATCAGGCAAGAAAAAGAAAAAATATTCAGACTGAAAAGGAAGAAAACTATCTGCTTGCAAAAGATCTTATATGCAGAAAATCCTAAGGACTCCACTAAGAAAGCTATTAGAACTAAGGTAAGTCCCAAAGTTGCAGGATGGAAGATCCATATACAAAAAGTAGCTTTATTTATACATAACCAGCAATGAAAATTCCAAAAACGAAATTAAGAAAACAATCTCATTGACAATAGCATAAGAGAATAATGTATTTAGGTATAAATTTAACAAAAGTCCAAGATTTGTACCTAAAAAATAAAAATATTGTTGAAAGAAATTTAAAATCTAAATAAATGGGAAAACATCTATTCATAAAGTGGAAGATAACATTAAGATGGTGACATTCCCCAAATTGATCTATAAAGAAAAAAAAAATCCCTATCAAATGCCAGATGGTTTCTTTGTAGAAATTCTTTGTAGTTAATCTTAAAGTTCATGTGGAAATTCAAGGGATTATGAAACAACCTTGAGAAAGAACAAAGCTGGAGGACTCACAGTTCTGATTTCAGAACTTACCACAAAGTGACTATAATCAAGACTGTGGTAACAGCACAAGGACAGACATATATATCAATAGAGCAGAAATGAGAATCCAGATAGAAACCTGTATTTCCATGATCAATTTATTTATTTTTTTTTTTAGAACACATTTCTTTTTTTTTTTTTTTTAAAGATTCTTTTTTTTTTTTTTTAAGATTTATTTATTTATTTATACAAGCACTGGGTACAGTCAGAAGCGCAGGAGGGTGAGAGAATTCACCAGAGCCAGAGCGGGGAGCAGAGCAGGCAGAAAGACCGAGGTACACTGCTGAGGGAGCAGCGGGCGGCAGGAGAGGTCTGCGTGCCATGTGGGATCCTCCTCCGGTGGCCGGGGAGCAGCTGGGGATCGAACCGGCGCTGCAGAGACTGCGGGCAGCTTCGCTAACCCAGCGCTCAACCGCTGCGCCACGGGGGAGGCCCATGATCAATTGATTTTTAATAAGGATGTCAATACTATTCCAGTCTTGTCTACAAATGGTGCTGTTGTAACAACTGGCTATCCACATGCAGATGAATGAAGTTATACATCTCCCTCACAACACATATAGGGATTAACTTAAAATGAGTCAGAGACCTAAAATTAAGAGCTAAAATTATAAAATTCTCAGAAGAAAACAGTCTTTATGACTAAGAGATAAGAGAAAGTAGAGATTGGATTATGTTAAAATTTTGAACTTTTGGGTCACAAATGTTAACAAGAAAATGAAAAGGCAACCCTTGAAATGAGAGAAAATATTTTGCAAATCATATATTTGATAAGGTACTGTATAGAGAATATATAAATTCTTGTAACCCAACAACAAAAAGAGAAATATATCTATTCAAAGACAGACACAAGATTTGAACACATCTCTCTTTAAAGAGGCTAACAAGAAGCCAATAAACACATGAAAAAGATACTCAACATTATTAGCCATAGCTGGGAGAAAGCAGATGGGGGTATTGAGGGGTGACTGTTAATGGGCACAGCTTTTCATTAATAAAAATGTTCTGAAACTATATTGTGATGATGCTGCATAACCCTGTAAACTTACTAAAAACTACTAAATTATATGCTTTATATTGGTAAAGTTTTATGTTATAATTTATATCTCAATAAAACTACAAAAAGACTCCTTACTATATGATGATCAGGATATTAAGTACTATGTCCACGTAGGGCTATGAATTTACATTTTCTCTTTAATTACATTAATTTTACTTATCACTGTGATAATTTATTCACACTGTGCATACTTTTTTTGGGGGGTGGGGAAGACGGATTTTTATTTGGTACATGGGGATGAGTTAAGACTATCAAGTGCAACACAAAACTCAACATGCTCAATATGTATGCTTCAGATTTCTACCACTGGAAACAATGAGTCAAGACTGTTTAAACATTCCTCATGTGCTTAGTTTTTGATTACAAGTAGATTTCTAGATAAAGCCTACATATTGACACAAAGACATCTTTAAATATTTTGCTAGTCACCAGATCTTTTGGTGCATGCACACTTTGGATGTGCTTGCTGTATTATATTTAAAAAAAAATTCTATGTTCTAAGTGTGACTTTTTTCAGGCTTAGTGTCAGTGATGATAACATGAATGGCCACACTAAAGAATTTTCAGTTTTGTACAGGAATTAACAGACCCATGTAAAAACAAAAATGAGTGAGTGCTCTAAGCATCAACAGAAACTAACCAGATGTCAAACTAAAGTTAGGAGTTGTGTACAGAGTGGTTCTAATCTCCAACTTCACACCAGAAAGGATTAACTGTACTTTTAATTTAGTTATATCACTTTCATTTTTAAGGTGTTTTCTACTCACAATTCAAAGAGGAAACAATCAGCTTAACTTTACCTTAAGCCGCTTAAACTGAGTACTTTTCATTTTAAACTTATTAATAATGATTTCACAGCTACATAAATATAGGAAGCAATTTCTGTGAGTTTAAATCAGATCAGTTTTTCCTTAAAAATTTTAGCTCTGTATGTGTGTGTACATTACACACAACACACACACACACACACACACACACACACACACACACACACACACACGGCCTGCATTCATCCAAACAAGTGGCGTTTCTTAATGATTTAAATCCCTATTGTCCTCACACTCCATTCAGTGTTTAACTCCTTTGTATATATACATAAATGCTTAAAAAAAAAATGCCAGCCAGTGATACAACCATTAGAAATAAACTTCCCTTAATTTCTAAGCAATGCTGTAAATACCATAATTACAGCTCAGAGTACTGGTGGAATAGTGGAGAGTTATAACCTTTGGAACTATACAGAAACTGAGTTCAAGTCACAAGTGATTGTAACTTTATGGGTCTTAGGCACATCACAGGAGTGGAGGTATACTATTATTTTTTTAATTAATTTTTTAATTAGTTCCCATAGAGTTTCCTTCACCCGTGCACCATCACCTCAGTCCCCTGTGCTCCTCCCTCTCTCCCTCCCTCCGATCCCTCTCCCGCCTCCTCCCCTGCAGGATGTCTCTGATTTATAATTGTCTGCTTTTGCTTTGTTGTGTTTTGTACTGTTATTATTTTTTTTTACACTGATATCTTATTTGGTTCCCCTATATTCCTGCTGTAAGTGAAACCATTCGATGTTTTTCTTTTTTCCTTCTGGCTTATTTCACTCAGCATAATTCCTTCTAGTTCCACCGATGTTGCTGCGAATGGCATGAGTTAATGGTTTTCTGAAAACTAGTTCGGTACTATAGCTCAGATTGTTTCTTACATGCTCAGGACTAATTTTATATATATATATATATATACAATAGAAAATAATTCCTTCCTACTCCTATAAAGTGACCCGCCATGTACCTGTTTATTTAGTCCAGGTGCTTTCAAACCCTGTAATAGTTTATTATTGACATATATTTTGGGAAAACTTGATAGTACAGTCACTTATACTTGCAAAATATCACCACTTAACTCTCCCAAGCAGCCTCATTGTAAAATTCAGTTATTTCATACTGACTCAAATAGCATCGCTAGTGACACATCCACTTTTCAAGTTACTCTTGCTTTAAAGCCCTATTTTCCCACTATTCTGGAAGATTTTCTAGCAGTATATGAGGAGGAATTAGAATGTTTTGGCTTTCCAGAGTTGTTAATTTATGTTCAATAAAGGGAAAATTTTGGTAGGAAAAAAGAAAAAACAACAACCAAACTTTAGATGACCAAGCTTAGTTAGAATTAAATACAGATGGATTTGAAATTAAGTCATATAAAAAAAAATGTATTCATAATAGCTATACCTCAATAGAAGTTAGCATTCCATAATTTCTATGGATTTACTTTTGGAAACTGACTTCATATTTTTCCTTTGCATCTTTACGAAAGAATTTATTTATGATTAAGTCTACTTACAGAGATAATGAAAAGGAATCAATTAAAAATACACAACTAATAAATGTTACTTAAGCTTGGAAAGGTACTATACAAGGTCTGCAAAGACAGTAACAATTTGAGGAATGTATTTACTCTCTGTTTTTACTGTCTGTGTGGTCTTCAGAATAGCAGTATGACAAAAGTTATAGCACAAACAACTTACAAAGGTTCACCCCAGTTATTTGAGTTCCCTTCATAAAAGATGAGAGTAGTTTTCTGATACCAGAGAAAATTTCAGAGTCAAGTCTGCTGAATTTTTGCTTTCACAACAAAGCCAACCCCAACCTCCTGTTTATAACTTTGCAGCTACACACCCTTCTACTCCCACTCCCTCTTTTTATAATCAATCTTCCCACCCTCCACTCGTAACATTTTCTATTATAATTACTTATAATGTTTATTTTTGATTCTGCTTCTACTCCCCTCCCCCTACACACACTAAAATGCTATTCTACAAGGGCAGGGATTTTTGTTTTGTAAACTGAATATCCTGAACACTCACAACAGTGTCTAATAAATAGGAGGTGCTCAATAATGACTCAGTGGCCGAATGAGTACACATAACAAAGAGCAACAAGAATATTAGAGTGTTACTTAAGAGATTAATTCTCCAGATCAGACTGAGAACACTCCTGAATAATGGTTAAACATCCCACCATTGCTGATGACTCAGCCCACATGTCCCTTAAAGACCCTACCTGCCTGAGTGCGTTCCTATGGCCACCACTGTGCCACTTGGATGAAAATCTGCACAGTGTCCTGGTTCCTAGAAGAGAGACAGACAGCTGTTGGGGAGTACACGAGAAACTCTCCCTATATCTATGGGAATAGTAACAAAAACATCTGAAAATAACTTGGTTCATATAAACATGGAATCCTAATCAATTTTATTGTAGGTCCTCCTCCCTGGTGGCGCAAGGGGTTATGTCTCAGCACTATGAAGCGATTGGCAGCCACTTCAGTAAGAGTTCGATCCCTGGCCAGGGAGCTAACCCACATATGATGTAGCAGACTTCTCCTGTCTCACCCACTGTTCCCCTCATCAGTGTATTTCAGTAGATCCGCCTGTTCTGCTCTCACCCTGTCTCTGGTGAATCTTCTCACCCCCGCACCTCTGGCCTACACTCCAGCTCTTGTATGCATAAATAAATAAAATAAATCTTAAAAATATTTTTTTATTGTAGCCAATGTGAAATACCACGTGCGTATGAGAGGAAAAAGAATTTCAGCGCAGGAAGGGGATATGCTGGCAGAGTAGTGGAAAGGACAGCCAGCTTGTGGCTAGGCAGATCAGGATAATAGCAAATATCTACACATGTCTATAATAGAGTCTGCAAAGAACCTGTATATACATCTTTTGGACAGAAAAGGTGGATATCTGGGTGGAGTAAGGAAAAAAATACAGTAAGAGACCAACTTAAAAAGAAGATGGTAGAGTCTGTGAGCGAGCAGCATACAGCGAATCCAACCAGAGACCAAACCTTCCTGTAACAACTAATGTTCCAAAAATATGTCAAATCTTTTTTATTTCTGAATCTGACAGAAAAACTGAGCTTCTGCTGTGCTGCTTTAGAGTGGATTCAAGTTATACTACATGACTAGCCACTTTCCTCTTAACCCCAAGTCCCTTTACCAGACTATACAAATACACGTAGTTTTAACCAGTGCTGAGTCCCCTTTCCTGCTGCTCCCAACCACCACTTGGGGGAATTTCCACAGGGATTATATTTACACCTTGCTTTACTTACATCTACAAGCCTGGTCCATTCCAGCCTGTGTTCCACTGAGTTCCACATGCACACTTGTCTGTCCTGAGCACACGTCAAGAGCAAATCTTTGAAGGGATGTGTGGCAAGACCCCAAAGCTCATCGGTGTGACCCTAAAAATAAAATACACCCATTATTTACCAAATAAAGGTTATCATTTAAAATAGGATTTGTTAATGGATAAAATCATATCATTACCTGTACTTCTATTTGGAAGACATCATTAAATGTTGCCCGTAAAATAAAGTTTCTTGAAGTGCCTACTAAAAATTGATCTGCTTTTCCTTCTGCTACAGCTCTGATTGTTCCATATTGATCAGGAACCTAAAAAAATAAATTTTTAAAGTCATCATACACATACTAACATGCATTGGTTACTACCTGAAAATAGAATTTATAGTTGTAAGCAACTGTTAAGTAATAAATGACAGAATTTCAAATTTGAAAACTAATCTTATGCTAATAATAATGTTCCACATAATTACATTTTATTGCACATGATATAACACATTTTCAATATTCTTTACTTAATTCAATTTAAAATTTATATTTTACATGATTTCAAGACTAAAGGGACAGTAGTAGGGAGAAAGGTGTAAATCCTATTCAATCACATGCAGTTGTGGTCTGGTTTTGTTACTTATAATTCACTTTGTTATTAGTTATAACTTACTAGCTATGTTATTTTATCAAAGATAATTTTTTAAATCCATAAATGAGAAAATACATGCTGTTGTATTATTGATTATTGTAAGGATCAAAATTTAAAAATAATTGCAGGTGAAATTTTTTTGTAAACTAAAAAGCACTATACTATAGTGTCATAACTGTCATTACTAGGACTCCCTGGCAGATTAATTCCATTTAATGCAATGAGGTAGGTTTATTAATATAATAGTGTTATATTAACAATACAATGATTCCAAAGAATGATTTTCTGAAATAATGCAATTCTTTTTTCTTTATGAAGCAGGATCCAAAATGATCCTAACAGCATGAAGTAATTGAAATCTAAAAAAAAAATCCATGATTATGTTAGAAATGGCAATGGGAGGAGTAAACTAGATGATGTAGATTTTGATTACAAAGGATATGAGTTATAAAATAGTACATGAAGTCATATTTCCTTTTTAAGTAGCACCGTGAGTTTAATATTGTAATACAGTAACTCTTTGTTTTCTTGGAAATAAAGCCCAAGAGAATCCTCTTCTTTTGAGAAGATTTTCTTTGGAACACATGTTACACTGAGCAACAATTCAAAATTTTAATCACCAAAAAACAAAAGCAATGTCAAACTCTGTGATATTTGCTTTTGCTTTGAGAAATTTAAAAATACTATATTTAACAACTTTATTTCTTGAGATCTCAATACAATTACCAAACTTTCACTGTGCACATAATACTCATAGGTTTTATGGATACATTTGATCCATTCATGAAGTAGACATACACAGATTAGCGATGGCACTCACTGTTTAAAAGATTTTTTTTTAAAGACTTATTTAGTTATACATACAAGAACTGAGGTATAGGCCAGAGGTGCATGTTGTAAAAAAGTAAACTGGTTATTTTGTGTTTGCTGGATTAGAGTATTTGATGCATATATACTGAATTTTAAGTTTGCATGGTTATATTCTTTCATCACTAATAAAATCAAAGTAAACAAGCAATTGCTCTGCCTCATCTTTTCTTTTTATTCTTTCAAATTATTTTAATAAATAATCTGCCTTATCTTGTTTTGTTTTTTGGAGGATATGACAAAAATGTGCACCAGTGTCTCAGAAAAGTATGTTATCTTAATGTGGAAAAAATGCCTGAGTTTAGAGCATTTTTAAATTTTTATATCCTACTTTCATCCTTACCTCTATTTCTCTTTCTGGATTCAGATCATGATCCCACAGAATTATTTTTCTGTCTTTCCCTCCTCCAGTTAATAACATCCCATTCCTCATTTGACAAAGTGTGAACACACTGCCATCATGAGCTTTGATTTGTTTGCTGATCTGATAAACACCTAATATGATGAACGAAAAATAAAAACACAAGTGATAACATTTTCCTTCAGATATTAATGTCTTTTGGAAGAGAACTATCAGAATTACAGAGTAAATTATCAAAAAGTTCCCATGACTCAACAATCATAAACCTATTTTTAATAAGTCTTTTTCAAGGTAGGTAGTTAAACTTAATATAATCTTTTATATTATGTCAATATTTATTTACTTTGAATGTATTTCAAGATACATTCTTACAAAATGGTCAGCTAAAGTAGTGGTAACTATGGAGTTAGGTAGGGTATTTATTATTCTTCTGATTTTATTACTCTTCTGATTTTATATTTTTAAAATTAGTCCAGCTGTAGCAATGCGATGGCTGACTGACAGCTCAATTTCCTGTTTTCAATATAGCTTTCTATGCTTCTAAACACAAAACCTTGTTATATACTTAAGATCTTAGAATTATGAAATGTTTAATAAATTAAAAATAAAACTAAAGAACAAATACTTGATCAATAATAAAAACAGCTTGTGACATGATCACCCCCATCAGATTTCCTACTCTCTACCTTCCAACCGCAGGAAAGTTGTTTCCTGTGAAACATCTAATGCTAGTTTGGCTAACAATAATTCTGTGTTTAAAATTCAAACAAATTACCAAAACTTCCTTTAGATAGTATTTACTTACAAAACAAGCTACTAATTCAAAGTTTTCTTTCTCATGGGCCTGTACTTCTAACACTTCAATTTAAACCAAATGTTTGAAATATTTGCCAAGAAAAATAATTATCTTTGGAATTTAAAAACCTATTGTACCTTCCGGCTTAATCGTGGCCAAGTCTATCCCTTCTCATCACTAACAGAAACAAAGTTTTCATAAAAAGCAACTTCACCTTGCCTGCCAAATAAAGATATTTGGAGGGCTTTCTGTGCCTGTTTAACTATGAAATCAAACATCAGAGAGACGTTAAAATTTATATCTTCTTAGCATCTGGACAAATGGGGTCACGGTGATTATCTGGAGAGCTGGAAAAATATTGTATCTTAGTTCCTTAAAGGAACTTGGCAAAGACGAAAGAATGAGGATTTTAATGGTGTTGTAGATAATCTCAACTTCCCAATTTCCACTTAAAAAATGAGTTACTTCATGTAAAAAAATTTATTTCATATTTATAGGAAATAACAAATACCTCACATCCACTTAAACAGAAAATACTGAAACAACCTAAGTATCCATTAACAGAAGAATGGATACAGTTGTGGTATATATATGGTGTGTGTATATATATATATACACACACACACACCATATATATGAGCATAATGCTCTCATATATATATATATATATATATGAGAGCATTATGCTCAGTGAAGTAAGTCAGAGAAAGACAAATAATGCCTGATCTCACTTACATTGGAATCTAAAAAAATGAATTCACAGAAAAGAACAGATTGGTAGCGACCAGAGGTGGTGGAGGGAGCGTGGGTGAAGGAGGTCAAAAGACACAAATTTCCAGTTGAAAGATAAATAAGTTTTGGGGATGTAACATACTGAGAGTAACTATATAGTCAACAATACTGCAGAAAAGATTTTAAAAATTCTCATCCCAAGAAAAAACTGTTGCTATATGAAGTGGTTCTAATGCCTTAAAGTTTCCATTCAAACTGCAAGCTACTAATGGTGTTTTCTCAGTTCTGACTCTTCCTGCACTCCCCACCCCATACACTTATACTCCTGTAAACTCCATTCCTTTGTTTAGGGTCACTGAATAGTTTGAGTTTGTTAACTTTTTAATAACTCACTTCTATAATCCTTGTAGGTACTTTTTCAGACATCTAACTTCGAGATAAAAAGATCCTTGGCTCCATAACTTTTTCTCTTCTATGATGACCTCAACGAGTTTTAAGGATTTTATGAGTAACTCACAAAAACTATCTTTAATCCCTACCAGGTTTTTCAATGGTTTAGTATATATTAGTTTAAACTGCTAAAAGAAATTAAAAACACTACTATTTAAATAAAATCGTATTTCCTTCAAGTTGGCAATCTCTTGATTCTGTTAACACTTTTGCATGGCGAGTTTATTCACACTATCCTGGATGTTGCACACACACAACCATCTTTTGCCTTTGTTTGCACTATTTGCCTAAACTGGGATCAAGATACCATATCTTTTGTAGTCTTGCACAGTTTTTCAGTAGCTTAGCTGAAGTACCATTTATTCTGTGAAGACTTCCCAAAACACTGAAAATCAGGATGATTTCACTCTTAATCTTTAAAATACCATCTATGACTACACATCATCTTTTTCTAATTTATTGGTATTAACCACCTAGAAGGAAAGGTTCAGTAATATATGCTTAATAAATAAACAGTTTAATTTTAAAATGATTACCATGAAGAACCTTAACAATAAAAGGTAGATGGGTGGCCAGCATATTGTTCCATGGCAACACACACTCTCTCCTGGTCTGTGTAAGAGATGGGACTGCAATAGCAATATTTGCAAATTAAAAAGTGAATTTATATGAGAATACTGTACCTTTAGGTCCTTTCCCAGGTGTGGGTTCTATAGTAGTTTTGCTCCATATAAGTAAGACTCCACCTGAGTCTCCAGTAAGAACATCTCCATTTCCTAGGAATGCCAAGCACTGCACAAATTTTGGTTTTTCATATTTCTACAGTAAAACAATGAGAATTTTTAGTTTTCCCTTTGGCATGATGATTTTATTTTTACTCAAAATTCAAAGCTTTTAACAATGTTATAACATTTTGATCCTTACCCCAAAAATCCCCTGTTTTCTTGTTAGTGAATTGCCACTCCATGTCCAAAAGAAAATATGAGATTTACCACATGTTATTATGGTATTTGCATCTGTTGGATGGAACTCCACAGCCAAAACAACTTCATTTGTTGTCTGTGAAAAGAGAAAAAAAGCCTTAGATGGTTATAGAGCCTTTTCCCCAGCAAGTCCCAACTATCAAATATAATGCTACTGATAATTAAAGGCAGGTATATTTTTAAAAGGAAATATCTTAATACCTTAAACACAATATAGCCGCAATTATAAATGCTATATTATTTTATGTAATAATCCAACAAACTTAATTAAACTTAATTCCAGGGTAATTTTTTTTCAGTAAATTTGCAAAACTTTGAAGAGTGAAATAACACATTTTGTTAAAGTAGTAGTCAAATAGTGTTCAGTTTTATTTTTATAATTTATTTTTATTTATTTATGCCTGGGATGCAGGCCAATGGTGCGGGTGTGTATGTGTGTGTGTGTGTGTGTGTGTGTGTGAGAGAGGATTCACCAGAGACAGAGTGGGGAGCAGAACAGGCGGATCTACTGAAATACACTGCTGATGGGAGCAGCGGTGAGACAGGAGAGGTCTGCTGTGCCATGTGGGTTAGCTCCCTGGCCGGGGATCGAACTCATGCCACAGTGGCTGGCGACAGCTTGATAGTGCTGGACTTTAACCCCTGAAACACCAGGGAGGTCCCTAGAGTGTTCAGTTTTAATTTTGGGATTAGACAACTATCTACTTTGGCATATCAGTTGCACAATATGTCTGACATAGCAATGAAACTGGCTTAAACTGCTTGACTATTTTACTTTGTATAAGTGTAGTGTTAATACCCTAAGAGTTATGACAAATCAATAATTTGATGAATTTCAACAGATGTGTGCTCTTGCATTTTAAGAATGTGCAGTATAGTTCTAAGAGATCACAAAACAAATAATGTATTCTTAAAGATAATAATTAAAAAAACCTTTAAATCTACCTTTATTTCTGCCACTTTCGATTTTTTCTGCCAATCCCATACAGTAATCATATGTTCATTGGAGTCATCAATAACACATAAATGAACACCTGAATCCTAAAGAAAAGTGAAAGACATTGAAAATTTTCAAATAAGACTGATTTTTAAAGACAAAATATCATACTATAAAAACTGTGAACATTAAGGTAACAAAAAAATCCTTTAAACTGATAGATCCTTAAAATATAGTGAAGATTCTCTTACAAAAAAATTATTTTTAAAATGTTTTCCCTAGGAAGATAGTCACTTGCCACCTGGCCAATTCTATTATTCAGAAATAGCAAATAATTAATTTTGAGATATCCTAGACCCTTCTGCATCTTTTGCTTCCACCTTATTAACTGTATTTAAAATGTTTTCCCTTGAAGGTAGAGTGAATGTACATAACTTGATGGAATAACTAAAATTAAGGGCTACACGAAGGTTTGCCGATTTCAGTTTTCTGTATGACTTAAATTAACATACATTCACAAAATAAATGAGGACCTAACTGAATTCCTTATAATCTATTTTACTGAAACCATTTTCCTTCACATAATTTAAGTCTTCTAGTTTAAGAAATGTGAATATTAAAAAAAAAATTTCCTGGTGACATTTGTGGTATATACTTTATAATGTCTATGGGACATAAAAATATTGTGGTGAAGAGAGGTACTCTAAGGGAGGGCAGAGCTTACACTCTTTCTCTTAGTTTGTATTGGAAAATTTTCCTAAACTATGAAGTTAAGAGTATCCAAGAAGTATCCAAGATAGTCTTATCATTGTAACAGTGATACCAACAACATGACAACAGTTCCTGCTATAGAGATTTTAGGAGGAAAAAGGGTAGTAGAAACATTTCCTTTCCATCTTCTTACATCCCCTTTTCTAAATAAATACCTTTTCCCTAATTTCTGACTCACTGCACTCTAGACATTCAGTACTTTCAAAAGTTAGTAAAGTTCCTAAATTTTCCTAAATCCACCCAAATATATCTTTCTGCTCTAAAAATGTTTCTTCCTCCTCTATGTTCCACAAATGCCCATAATTCATAACATAGCTGTTGACAAATACGAACTGAAGGGATATGATGAATACATAAATAAATTTTAAATCATAAATGAAGTCCAATAAAATATAAAGGGATATTTATACCTGAAAATTTAAAATGTTGATCTTAAAATGTAGAATGTCTCCTGTATATTCTATAATAATTACATATAACTGAAGAAGAAACAGAATGAGTAACATCTTGTTTTATTTTCCTCTCAGAATAAAGCCACAAGGTTTGGAGATTGCTAGATACTGAATTTTAAGCCCATGCTGTCATCAATTCAGAGCTAAGATAATTCATGATTTTCATGATTAAAGAGGTCTGTTACTTTTACTCCAAAGTGACATCAAAAAGCTAGTATTTGTGTAGATTTGGCAGATTTGTGAATTTTCTAAATCAAACAGATCTCCAAGATTCAAGAAACAACAAAAGCACATACTACTGCTCATTCAAATTGTATTACACTGTGTGTGCATTCTTCTACTTCCTGCTACTATACTGGAATCCTATTTCAGGACAGAATAAAATTAAATATAATCAAGTGTAATATTATGGATCCTATCTATATCAAACTATTTTAGTACTTAGGTCAAAATGTTGGACAAAACTAAGCAATAGATAATATCTCATTTTTCAGCTGAGAGATCATTTTCTACGAGCACATACACATAAAGCTGAGCTTAACTTTTTTCTGCTTCTTTGTTCAGTTTGTTTGCTTCTTAAAAAATTGTTACTTACTGCTTTGGAAAAATCCAGGCATCCTACTCCACGCTCAAAAGTTCCAAGTCCAATAATTTGCAGTGTGGATAGACTAACTGAATCCCACACTCTGACGTGGGGTTGCAGAGGCTACAAAAACAAAGGGGGAAACAGGTTAGCAAGCCTAATTGGTACTCAGGTGGATGCAAATAAAAACCACTAGTTTTTACAACATAGTACATACAGTCTGCCATGTTTTAAAAAATGATAAGTACTAATAAAAAATAGCTACTCCATTTAGACATGCCCCTAAAGACCTAGAGCAGGTATTACCTTCTGGCAGAAAAACAAATTAACAATTTTGATAATAATACCAGCAAATAATTTGAATATTTACTATGTGTCATACACTACTCTAAGCATATCACATTTAATATCATATTTCATTTAATCTTCATAATCTTATTAACTGTGTACAATTATAGTCACCATTGACAAAAGAAGAAACGGAGATATGGAGATTTAAATAACTTGCTTGAAGTTATAGAGCTATTATACAGGATTCTAACCCATGCAAACTGCTCCACACTGCTTTTAGCATTACCTTCATTCTTGGAAAAATAACACACACAAAAAAATCAGTGCCCAATAAATTACTAAGCAAACAGTCCTTAACAGAACTGGGAACTGGAAGGGATCTTAGAAATCCAATACAACCATTTAACTCCTTTTCGTTAAAGAAAGTAAAGTCAGAGATGTTATCGGTATGGTCCATATATGGCAATGAGTCATTGCTGATATTTACTGTTGAGTCTTATAAATAAGGGGCCAGTAATGACAGCCATTTCAACAACATTTCGTATCTAAAGATTTTTAAGTATTCAGATCTAGTTATACATAAAAAATGCAGGAGGTCTATCAACTTAAGAACATTGAAGTACAACCTGATAAACAATAGTTATTCTATGTGAAGTTTATCAATCCTCCCATTTTTATATATAAATAGGATTTTTTAGGGAACACTGACTTTTTAGAAAAAATATTTAATATAAAGTATGTTTACCTTTTGTTGTTTGGAATTTTCTTATATGCTAATATTTTACCCTGCTTATACCAGAAATCCTATAGTAGTTATATTTTATTTATTTTTATATATATATTTTTATAATTTTTTTTATTTTTATAGAGGCATGTTTATTTATTTATTTATTTATGTTTGTTTGTTTGTTTATACATGCACTGGGTACAGTCAGAAGCGCGGGAGGGTGAGAGAATTCACCAGAGCCAGAGCGGGGAGCAGAGCAGGCAGAAGGACAGAAGTACACTGCTGAGGGGAGCAGCGGGCAGCAGGAGAGGTCTGCGTACCATGTGGGACCCTCCTCCAGTGGCCGAGTAGCAGCCGGGGATCGAACCGGCGCCGCAGAGGCTGTGGGCAGCTTCGTAACCCAGTGCTCAACCGCTGCACCACCGGGGAGGCCCAGTAGTTATATTTTAAAAGTATAAATGTGTGGTGGCTAAAATTACAATTTCATTCTAAGAGCAACATTCCAGATTCATGTACAGCATAAAATTGTGCCACTCACCCTTCCATCTTTATCCACTCCAGCAATCTGTCCAGTTGCAATCCTAATTTTGTCAGGATGTACAGCAAGGCTAAAAGTAGTATTAACAACAACTTAAAAATACAAGAAACATGTGAACAGCAGAAATATGCCTAGAATCCTATTTTTCAGTTTTTACAGTAAAAACACACCATAACTTATTTTATTACTTTAGCAAATCAAATGAGCATCAATTATCTAAATGATTTTTTAAGTTTGACCTGTACTTCCCTTTCTTGGCTAATTAAACTGAACATTAAATTTTAAGAAAATATTTATTCACAATTGTGGCATAATAAACATTTCATTTGCTTATGTCCCGTTCTAGTCTACTATCCTCAGGCATATTTAGTCACCCGGTTTTAAATTACAATGAAGATGCACTACTGTATTGTGTATTTTCATCTATTAAAGTAAGCATTTTTCCACTTTGCTACATAATCCTTACCATATTTTGACTCATCAGATCTATCATTTCTGCTAATCCATGAAAGAACACAGCAGTGAACAACTCCACACATAGTGCCTCCAGTCTTTTATTATTTATTTGCTAGACTCATATAAGTCAAACTGGGGGCAAAGAATTTTAAAATATCAACTGAAAACAGTACATCATATATGCTCAAACTTCTCATGATACATATATAAACTATTAGCAAACAAGGAGTAAAAACAAACAAGGAGTAAGCTAAACTGAGAAAATAATCTTTTTTGGTTTTAGTATGTACTGCTCATTTCTTTCCAGAAAACTAGCGGCAATTTAAGTTGTCCTTAGAAATAAAAACGTTTCAAAAGTTTCACTACTATTTGCCCATATTAAGAATTAGGTCTTTTAAAATGCCTTGATGATATGATTGGGAGGAGTACATAATAATAGATATATAAAGCTTCCCCATTCTTTCTTTATAGCAGATGGTAACCTATAGCTAGTGCACAACTTCACTAGTCCCCAACTGAAAGATATTTAGGCTGTTTTCAATCTCTCTATCATACATAGTGTTGTAATAACTCTGTATACATTATTCTTCAAGTGTAAAAGACAAGATTTTAATTATATCTAAAAGCTTAACAAATCTTTGTAATATATTAATAGACATTAATTTTTTGAAGCTATAATTGCTAGAGTAATATGGACATAAGAAAGTGTTAAATGCTGGGATGCGTTCAAAGCAACAGGTCAGTGAATTTAACTAAGGAGCAACAAAATTGGGTAATTTTATTTTTTTTAATAAATATATATCTATTTTAAGATTTATTTATTTATTTTATACAAGCACTGGGTACAGTCAGAAGTGTGGGAGGGTGAGAGAATTCACCAGAGACAGAGAGGGGAACAGAACAGGCAGATTGACGAAGTACACTGCTGAGGGGAGCAGCGGGAGTGGCAGGAGAGGTTTGCGCGCCATGTGGGACCCTCACCCGGTGGCCAGGGAGCAACCGGTGCTGCAGAGGCTGTGGGCAGCTTCGCAACCCAGCGCTCAACCGCGGCGCCACAGGGGAGGCCCAAAATTGGTTAATTTTAAAGGATTAAAATTAAGCAGTTCTCCCATTTTTTATAGCCACAATTTATTTTTTTCCAAACAGAAAAGCCTCAAGTTCAAAATTTATCTGCACAAAATAAATCCTCAGTAAATTATTTAGTAATCAATAATACCCAGAAATCTGTAAAAGTCCAGAGTCCCTAACATTTATTTGATACTTCTGGTCAGAAGAAAATGACCATAAGGGATCTAAGAAAACAGAAGAGGTCCCAAGTGAAATAGATAGGGGATATGTTTCATTGCTGCTGACACCATGTTTTTTTGGAGACCTCTAAGTTCCCTTTCCTTTTAAAAATATAGTCTATAGGGGAAAACATATATATATATGCGCACACATATATTTCTATTCTACAAAATATCCCACAATATCCATACATTCTGAGCTTCCTGTAAGAAGTCATTTTTATAAAACTCAAATTTGAAAATACACAAAAACAAAAGCATGGAAAGAAAAAAATGAACAAATGTTAAATGATACCAACCATTTCACACAGTCTGTATGACCAAGGTAGTGTCGTTGAGTTCTTTCCTCATAATTAAATAGTACTACTACTGATGCTATGAAATAAACTATTTCCCCAGTAGGAAGAAGGTAAACATTAGCTCGACAATCTTTTCCTCGATAACCGTATCTTAAAAGAAAGAGTCAAGGTTTTCAGTAAGCATAGTTTTCAGAGTGTTAAACTGACAATTTTTTTATGGATACTAGAGGGAATCAAAGAAAGATTAATGAAAAAAAGACTGGACAGAAACTAGAAAACTCATTTCCTGCAATTATCTGGAATCTTTTTTTAAAAAATTATTTATTTATGCATACAAGAACTGTTGTACAGGCCAGAGGTGCGGGGGTGGTGGTGGTGGTGGTGGTGAGAGGATTCACCAGAGACAGAACAGGCAGACTGACTGAAATACACTCCTTAAGGGAGCAGTGGGCAAGACAGGAGAGGTCTGCTGTGCCATGTGGGTTTCTCCCTGGCCAGCCGGGGTTCGAACTCGTGCTGCAGATGCTGCAAATTGCTTCATAGTGCTGTGTTCAACCCGTTGTGCCACCAGGGAGGCCCCTCTGAAATCTTTTTATGTCTTAAGTTTCCTCATTTGCCAGATAAATGTACACTGAGTTCCTAATATGTGTTAGGCAGATAGTTGAATGTTCATTTTTGTACAAAACAAATGTGGGACTTGTATCCCTGAAACTAATGCTCTTGCAAAGATGACAAAAATAAACACCAGGTATATCACTAGAAACTGTGGAAAGAAAAATAACAAGATGCTAGGAGAAAGCATACAAGGAGGATTTAAATGGAGCAAGAGATCAAAAGAAGAATTATCAGAGCAAGTGACAATTATACTTGATATGTATGACAACTAAGAGATATTTAGGCACAATTACGGCAAGCAGAATTTTTGTTAAAAAGTTGTAAAGAAATGTATGATTGTTGAATTTACCCAAGCTAATTTCTGTCCATAGGAGGGAATGATTCAAGGGCTGGGGGAAGAGAGATTAGGAGAATGGAGGCAGAAAGCAAAGTTCAAACTATTAGCTTCTTTTCACGCAACAGTTTTTAAGAGCTTTTATAGGAAGTGAGAATTTCTAAGTGAAATTAGGAAAGCTCTATTTTAATTCTTAGAACAGTATGATGAGGTAGGGGTTATTAAGTGAAGAAAGAAAGAAACATTCATTGGGAGCAAGTGGTAGAGCCAAGACTTCAACACTGATCTTCCATTTCCAGTCTGGTACAGTTGCTATCACACCACAAAAACCTGCTGCAATGTTTATAGACTAATGCTTGCCTTATCCTAAGGTGCCAATTTGGTGGCTTTAAATTGCTAATAGCAATATATATGTAATATGTGAAAGGATTAGAGATGACACCTCTTTACCTTCCCAAGTGGTTATGTTTATTTTATATATATATGTATGTATGTATGTATGTATGTATGTATATGTTTTGGTATGTTAACAATTTGGTAGAGATTAGGTAAACTAATTTTTCCTAACTAAAAACAAAGCAAACAAATTTGCTGTCATGGCAGAAAGGATACGCCCACTCCAGTTTGAGCTTCTCAGGAGGCAATTCTGTTCTGATGTCATCATAGTTGTCAACATCAGAAGGAATAAACATTGTAATTGGCCGACCTCGCATAAACATTTTAACATATTCTCCTTCTGTTGAAACACAAAAAAAAAAATTAAGTGAGTTGTATTTTCTGAATAATCAAAATAGAAAATTAGATTACTAATGTGATACATTAAAAACCAGCTACTTCAGAGTTCTAGTCTCATAATAGAGTTGTTTATTTGTAAAGGCCTAGTCCAACTTATTATAGGAAAAAATACTCATTAAAGAAAATGAGAGTATTTTCATAATTAAAATATAATTTATTTGTATAAGTTGACACAGTTCTAAAAGAAGGTCAGGAAGGTTGAGGTAGAAAAATACGAAAGAAAATAATTTTATGATAGAAGTTTCTCTGACAGTTGAAAGGAAGAAATAGATTACCTGGAGAGACAATAACCATATCCACCACACTAACTGAGCAACATACTGATATTTAATGACGTACAAAATACATGACCTCAAAATATTCTGAGAGGAGTCAAACACCCTCAAGAGTCAGGATTGGAAGGGAGACTACAAACTCTGCTACAGGGGAGGAAAAAAGAGGGAAATTATATAATAAATTGACACCCTAAAGTAAGTAGGACAAGGAGATACAGATAAGATGACTTAGGGAAGTAGTTGCAGCTGGTAATCATTTAGTTATCATCAAAGTCCAGCTATGCTGAAAATCATCAGGAAGCATAGCCCACTCTTAGATTCAGAAGTAATAAAGACATATACCATGTGGTGTTAAAACCATGGCGTGGGAGGTCCCTAGCCCTTTCTTAGATTAAAACCTGAGATCAAGCACACTGCAATAATAAAAATAACTTGAGCTTCTCACCCACAATGGGACAGTTTTTTAATCGGACTGAAAAAAATACTTGCAGGCATTCAGCCAGTAATGTGTCTTTTCTCCTTCCACGATTTGTTTTCTATAAACTATTGAATGTACTCTACTCTTTAGTAAGTTAAGTTATCATTAGAGTCCTATGGTTGTATTAGCCTCTCATTGTTCCTAAGGTTTTATTACCCTCTGGTGTTGACAGCATTTTCAGTCTGTTTCTAATTCTATTTTCATATCATGCCAGACAAGTTATCAAGTGCTGGATATTTCTTCTCTCTTTCTCTTTCAGGTTATTGTGTAACAATTTCCCGATCACCACCAACATATATTAAACCTATTTATACGTAAACTACTGGACATGTTGAGGCCAATGAAGGGTGTTTGGTGGTTTTTTTTTTTTTTTAAATATTTATTTATTTATTTATACAAGTACCGGGCACAGTCAGAAGCGCGGGAGGGTGAGAGAATTCACCAGAGCCAGAGCGGGGAATAGAACAGGCCTACTGACAAAGTACACTGCTGAGGGGAGCAGCGGGCGGCAGGAGAGGTCTGTGCGCCATGTGGGACCCTCCCGGGTGGCCGAGGATAGAACTGGCGCTGCAGAGGCTGTGGGCAGCCTCGCAACCCAGCGCTCAGCCGCTGCGCCACCAGGGGAGGCCCTGGTGGTATTTTTTTAAGGGTACAAGAAGCAAAATAAGCCTATCCATTTGGTTAAATGAAGTTGTTTCCTACTGTAAATATTGAATTGATTCCAGACTTGTCTTTTTAATATTTTTAGTTTTAGACAGTTACAGATATTACAAACACTTACTGGCATATGTTAAATGTAAGTTGTCTTAGAACCCATACTCCTAATTAAAAAACTGTTTCCTTCCACTGTTTTAAAAAAAAGTTAACCAAAAGTGGTTGTAGGCACAATTGTCAAGTAAGGGAAGTGGGAAGTTGCTCTTCCTCCCCTTCCACCTCTTAGTAGTGATATGCGTCCAGCAAAGAGAACAAGTAAGGGATAGTTATCAAAGGGGAAAAAGCTCTTCTTCGCTAACAGAGGCAGGTTAGAATACCATGTTGATTCTTTTATCAACTGTCAAGCAGCACAGCAATTAAGTAAAAATAAAGGATCTGTTGCTTATCAACTTTAATATAAAAATGGCAATGGATGTTACAATGAAAATGTTTTTCCCTGTTGGAAACTGGCATTTTTTATGTTGAAGACCAAGTATGTAATAAAGGCACAGTGAATAACTCCTGCACTGAGAAGGAGTTAATTCATTTTAGAGGAAAGAACATGACCTGCGGAAAACTGGTCAGGATTTGAATTCCAGATTTATCACTAACTACCTGTATAACTTTGGCCTCATTTTCCTAATGCATAATATATACTATTACTTACCATTCAGTTTAAATAAGACATGACACTGTGAAGTATGAGGTCCCTGACAAATACTTATTCTCTTCCCTCTGCGGGGGAAACTGTTATAATTTCCCGATGTCTAGAAACTGCTTACATGGTTTAACATATTTAATATCTCTTCTTAAACTTTAAAGTGACTGTCTGCCAGATAGCAAGTATAGGCAAATTAGTCAGAAATCTGTTGGGTTCTATCATGTATATTTTAAAACAGAGGTCAGGAAATGCAAATAAGAGCAGTGGTGCAACTGAGGATGACTAGGGCTGGGGGTGCTGGATATAACCCATGTGCCATCTCAGAGAGGCAGCAGCTGGTCAGCTCCATGAAAGATGTGGGCCCAATATTGCTAGATCTTCCCATTTTTCAAGAGAAATAGGAAATCTGTAACTTGTGAAATCTTAATTTTCAAAAGTTCCTCCCTTGCCAAGGAAAAATACTGTTTGAAAACATACCTTTGGTTTGCATATAGCACAGCACACAGGTCACTAATTTGCAAACATCCCCACTTCCCCTTCCCCTTTTTTAAAAACAAAGAGTCTTTATCTTGGGAAATTAGGTAAAATTATACAGATCAAGAGCCTCTTTCCTCCTCAATTATTGTTCAGTCGAATTCTCACTTGAGACAGACTTCTTAAACTTATAGTCAAAGGATTATAAGTCAAAGGATTCAGCAGTCTATTTGTTTGTTTTACTCCAATGCTACTTTCTAGCTATCTTTATTGTTTGCCATGAAAATCAAAGGGAAAAGGTTGGGCATAGAATTGGTCAAAGAAGAGTATGGGATTAGTAATATTACAAAGTCTGGTGATCCAAAGAATATGAAGAAAAGAAATTATTAAACTATCTCATGTAAGTAGTAAACATGGTATAAAGCTATTAGTATCCAAGAATGAAGTTGCTGCTTAGAGAAATGTAACCAATCTCAACAGTATCTCCGACTTGGATTTGTGAAAATTCTCTGGATTGAAAGACAAGCTATACAGTACAGTAGAAAGAACAGAAGCTTTGTGATAGGCAGACCTTGGTTTGAATCCAAGCATTACCATCACTTACTAGAGTATGTACAAAGAAAGTATTCTTGAATATGATCACTTAGGGTGTGGCTAGTCTGAACTGAATTATATGCTGTATTAAAATACATACCAGATTTTGAAGACAGTATGAGAAAAAGGGAAAAATCTCATCAATTATTTTTTATAAAGATGATATCTTGCCATTTGTGATAACATGGATAAAATTTGAAGGGATTATGCTAAATAAAACAAGTCAGAAAGAGCAATACTGCATAATTTTACCCTCATGTGGAATATAAAGAAACAAATCAACAAAAACATGTTGGATTCTCACAACAAAATGGAGGCTAAAAAGAGGGGAAGAGATTGGGGAAAGGATGGGAGGAATGGTTAGAGGGGGCCTTTGAATAGTGGTAGGTAGCAGTTAGAATGTGGGTGGTGTGTGTATATCATGTTTGAAGGGGCATAAAGGTAAACCAATGCTACCTCAATTTTAATTTTTTTTTATATTTGTGCATTGAAACAATACTTTTAAATAAATTAATCTTTTTTTTTAAAGATTTATCTTTATTTATTTATACAAGCACTGGGTACAGTTAGAAGCGCAGCAGGGCGAGAGAATTCACCAGAGCCAGAGCGGGGAGCAGAGCAGGCAGAAGGACCCAAGTACACTGCTGAGGGGAGCAGTGGGCGGCAGGAGTGGTCTGCGCGCCATGTGGGACCCTCCTCCGGTGGCCGGGGAGCAGCCGGGGATTGAACTGGCGCTGCAGAGGCCGCGGGCAGCTTCGCAACCCAGCGCTCAACCACTGCGCCACCGGGGAGGCCCTTAAACAAATTAATTTTATCTGTGTCTTTTTACACTTCAAAATGTGGCTACTGTGGCTATGATTCAAAATGTGGAAACCTTTCAAATTACATGTGTGTTATACATTCTATCTTTATTGCAGTGTACTACAGAGACATAGTTGAGGCCCTTAGGATAATCCACAGAAGTTCAATTACCTGATAATAAAGTTTACTTATAATCCAAATAGTGCTAGCTTGGGCTCTGGATCCTAACATTAGTGAATCAGAGAGTATAACAGAAGAGGAAGCTGTTTCTGCTGAATTATCTTTGGGAAGAGTGAATACCAGGTCAAAAATTGAAAATAAGTCTGATGCTACAGACTTATTATTTTGTGTCCTTCTAATATACCTCCTAGTACTCCCCCCTTCAGTCTCTCCAGGTTTTGCTAATTCTTCTATGTTAGCATCTTTCCTAGATTTCCAATCCCCCAAAGTGCTTCAAATTACAAAATGATATTGAAGTTCCCAGATTGAAGTGCTTTGGTTATTTCAAGTACTTTGAGAAAAATGGTATTGGTGAAATGATTTATATTGATGCAAATAACTTGTTATTAAAGTATTTACATATTTAAAAGATGCTCATTAAAATGTATTTTTCACAGATTGTAACAAATGGAAGGAAAATTTTAGGCAGTGTAGTTAGTATCAAGCATATACTGTTCTAAGATCAATTCCTCCAGTGATTTTTTTCTTCACAGCTTGCTTTATTTCTGGACAGGGATTTTTCTTTTTTTTTTTTAAGTAGTTTTTCAAAGGCAACAAGCGAGCTTCAGGGGTTTGAACTATGACTGCATTTATTTGTGTAATGGGTCCTGCCTGTAGAAAGTCTTCTGAACTTCTAAGAATGCTTACAGCTTAAAGCATCTTTCTCCGAAAAGTTTCCACTAATTTAGGAATTAACTTTCACTTGTTATTTTATAATCTTTAGAACTAAAGAGTTTCCCCAAACT